GTGCGTTTTTGCGTCGTCTTAGATTATTATTTATCCCCGTTGCAGCTCGGGTGGTTTTCGTCGAGGTGGTTGAAGGGGCGGACGGATACGGGGCCGGTCAGGCGGGGAGGTAGTCTTTGCCGGAGCTGATTGGACGGCCAATTGGATTAACCGCCTTTGCACGCCCGCACACGCGCTCAACCGGATGAAACTTTCCTACCACGGTTCTGTGCCCTCATATATACGATCTTTTTTCCGTCCTCACCGAATTCTCTCTCACTCTGCCCCACACCCTCTACCCTCTTTCTCTCTGGGGTATTTTTTTTTTTTGTTGCAATCGCAAGGTTTGTTTCCTTCCGTTATTTGCATAATACGAGGACAATATAAACATTCCCCGAACGCAAAAAAATAAAACTCTTATTTTTTCTTCTAAAAAAAACTTACACAAAAAGATTTCCTCTTTGTCTATATGATATCAGCCGTTTTACTACGATTCCATCGCTTCTTTCCATCGAGACTGTATAATTACTTCATTTTATAATAAATAATAGGTATTCCATATATAATGTATTATATTTTAATTTTCCGCTGATAAAAATGTTTGAAAACCTAATAATGTATAGATCCGTCTCTTCAAGCTCTATAAAGCTGTTGACCAAAATTGTAACTGTATCCTAATTATGCTGCTAACTAATATGTATCATAATTCATACAGTGAATGCGAAAAAACTAAAACTAAATATTTTGTGTGAAAAAATATCAATTTATAATTTGTAGACACCTTTCACAATTCACTGATGGCGGTCCTGAATAAAATTCACCATTATTTTCTGTCAATCACACAAATCAAGAATTATTATTTATGATTGTATGGGTATTAATGATAAAAACTTTTAGTATAGTATGATATTATATTCTTAATAGGAATAATATTTTAAAAACAGTGACAAAAATTACAACCTGTTTTTTTTAGCTATTTACATTTTTTTTTTCATCGCAATCCTATATATATATATATATATTTATAACGTATTGTCACTCGCCTCTTCCGGTCACGCCCAACGCTATACGCCAAGGATGAAATTTTTGTCAAATACGATTCAGAATAGCTTTAAAAAATATTTTATACAAGAAATAATAATGATATTGTAGTTTAAACACGATCTGATCGACTGACAGTTTTATTTATATATATTATATGTTACTTAAAACTCTATAGTAAACACCGTTTATATGACGCACGATATTTTTCTAGTTAATATTCATATACCTATCTATTTAGAACATCTGGGTCTTAAATTAAATAGATACTTACGTTGATACTGAAAATCGTTTTCGATAATTGTTTTTTTAATGAGATATTTTTCTTTTTTTGAGATATAATACGCCTTTGATATTGGCCCACAAAAACTGTCCTCGAAAATCATCACGAGGAGGTATATAATAACTATATGTACATTATTTTGTATAGGAAATTTTACTTTTTTATTTCAGACGTCTATTTAAATAATTATTTTTTATTCGGTGTGCGCTCTAGGCCTCCGCGGATAGGCACTTTCGTACTACATCGTCACTACTCGTACCTATTTATCGTGCATTGTGCAATATATTATTATAGTAACATATTATAGACGGACGCGCCACGCACGTAAAACATATTATACCGAGTTCATATTATAATATTCGATCTAGAAAACCACAACCCGACGGCCGTTCCGCGTACCCACCGACCATTATCTACATAATATTATATAATATATATATATATATATCATTATCATCATTATACACGACCCGTTGGATATTCACACCCGGGCCGGCGGCCTTTATGACATTTGCGAATTGTTTGTTCGGTTAAACGGGTAAAATCGACGTCGAATAATACAATATAATACATATAGGTACGTGTACGTATTTAACGAACGGACGATGGTGGCCTTTGTGCAATTAACTACTACACCGATGCAGTTGACGCGGAAACGTCAAATCGTGTTATGTATATATATATATTGTATTGACTGGTACTGTGTGCGTATAATATTATGTATGTGTGCGGTTCAGAGCACGTCGGCCACGGCGGCTGGACGTCGATTTATGCGATTAACGATTATATCGTATAATTATGTGCGTTCTGCAATCTGCGGGAAACTGCGACGACGACGACGACGACGACGCGGTTGTGTGCGTGCTGGGGTGAAAATTTGAAGGGCTGCGATAGAATTTGCAACGTGTCCGAGTTAGGTTATAATAATATATTATTATAGGTCTATGCGGTTCACTCGATATAGTATATACGTGTATGATACGTACAAGCGATGACAGGCCTTTACAGGCGACCGATATCGAGAGTATAATAATATATACCTATATCGTAACAATCGATTTTCGACTATATCCGTTTTGATGATATGCGTACAATTATTATTGATTTGTACATGTACAAAAACTATTGAAGAAACATGCGGTATTGTATGGAATAATAATCATAAAAATATGCATCAAATTATGCTGTATAATATAAGTGGAATATTATATTATAAGTACCTATGCGATAAATATTAAATATACACATTTTAGCATTTATGTTTAAAACTAAGATTAACCATTATAAAGATAGTTTAAAGGTCTTTTTTCTTTTTTTTCGTTATAACCGACAACGGCGGGGGATCTGCTTTCGCGGCGCAAAGTTTGGTAGCGGTGTCGTATGCTATCTACGCACTGAATACTAGTGTCGTATGCTATCTACANATTTAACGAACGGACGATGGTGGCCTTTGTGCAATTAACTACTACACCGATGCAGTTGACGCGGAAACGTCAAATCGTGTTATGTATATATATATATTGTATTGACTGGTACTGTGTGCGTATAATATTATGTATGTGTGCGGTTCAGAGCACGTCGGCCACGGCGGCTGGACGTCGATTTATGCGATTAACGATTATATCGTATAATTATGTGCGTTCTGCAATCTGCGGGAAACTGCGACGACGACGACGACGCGGTTGTGTGCGTGCTGGGGTGAAAATTTGAAGGGCTGCGATAGAATTTGCAACGTGTCCGAGTTAGGTTATAATAATATATTATTATAGGTCTATGCGGTTCACTCGATATAGTATATATACGTATGATACGTACAAGCGACCGATATCGAGAGTATAATATACCTATATCGTAACAATCGATTTTTGACTATATCCGTTTTGATGATATGCGTACAATTATTATTGATTTGTACATGTACAAAAACTATTGCAGAAACATGCGGTATTGTATGGAATAATAATCATAAAAATATGCATCAAATTATGCTGTAAGAAAATGTGTACTACAGTAAATTATCGACAGCACTATTCAAAATTATCAAGTTTTAACTGAAACAAAGAAGAAATATACGTGGAATATTATATTATAAGTACCTGTGCCATAAATATTAAATATACACATTTTAGCATTTATGTTTAAAACTAAGATTAACCATTAAAGATAGTTTAAAGGTATTTTTTCTTTTTTTTTTTCGTTATAACCGACAACGCCGGGGGATCTGCTTTCGCGGCGCAAAGTTTAAAGGTCCATATGGGTATAAAAGTACATTTTCTATTCTTAATTATGTTCAAATTAATTATTAAGTGACAAGCGATAGTCAATATTTTCTTTGGTGACACTATGACTAATATTTTTAATTTAAAATGATNTATTCTTAATTATGTTCAAATTAATTATTAAGTGACAAGCGATAGTCAATATTTTCTTTGGTGACACTATGACTAATATTTTTAATTTAAAATGATTTTTCGTGTTCAACTCAAGTTGTTCAAGCATAGGTACTTAAAAGAATTATACTGTCCATCAGTAATTGTTTAAATATATTCATTTTTTTTTCAATTCTTAAACACCAATATTACACCGAATATTAAATAGTTCACGATAACTGATCAAAGTTTGAATCGTTTATAAAAGTTGGCATATTGAACGGAGTCAGCTATAGTAAAATATAATATATTATGATTAATTAGTGCGGGCGAGCTTTTAATTCCTGTGAATCGAATCGATATAAGGTTTTAAACTCGAATCGCTTCTATTTATTGCTCGGCTTGCGTATTACCGTGTTTATATACATCTGTGACGATTGGCTACCTACAAGGGCGGCAAATGCTGCTGCAGAGAATGTGTTCCAACTAACATTCATATTGCAGTAAACAATGTAAAACAAATTATAAATTTAAACGTAACGGGAGTTTCCGTTGTCGGAAGACACAAAAAGTGCCAAAGCGAGATGAGCAAAAATTAGTAGTACCAAATCACCAACATTCCATAGATATCTGTGACAAATTTATAATCTGATTTCGATGTAGAGTTTTTATGTTGTAACTATAAGTAACGGATTTAAAAATTCCTAAGCAGAAAAAACTACCGAAAAATGGTTAAAAAAAATAATCGAAAATGCCTTAAAACAATTACTGCGATAACTCCCTTAAAAATACTACAAATTTTGTTTATAGGCACTCAACTGCGCAACCGTTATGAAAACGATGGTTTAACTTTTCTCGTTCTTAACAAGTGCTCACTATCTTAACCAAACTAACAACAATACAAAAACCGAATACTCCGAACTTTGCACACGCAATAAACAGTATACAGGAAATAAATGCGATTGTGATGTATCTCCAACTGCGGACCAGTATAAGTGATTATACTATTATAGTTATTAGTTTGAGTAAAACACCACTCGTCCGCTCCGATAATAGCTGGCTATATGGATGGAAATGTAAAAAAATATTTTATTAAAAGATAAACCATAATAGAATACGCGCAAAGGATTCTTTGGCACTCATTTGGGGCTCATTGGGTATGATTTTATATTAGAGCTACCCATAATGTCCTACTGAACTTGGCGGGAATTATTATTACAATAATTATGTAATTTCAACACCTATATTCGAAGTTTATGTCACGATAATTCACCCGTTTCCGTACGGCGTGCAACTGTAGGTTTAATTTTTCCTTGTTTGTGTTCCAGGAGTTTCGGTACCGTGTGTTCAAAGTGTTCGAAAGGCATTTCCGCTTCGCACTGGGTGCGAAAGGCCAGGGACCACGTTTACCATTTGGCTTGCTTCCGGTGCGACGCTTGCGACCGTCAATTGAACACGGGCGAAGAGTTTGCTCTGCACGAAGGTCGTGTCCTGTGCAAACCTCACTATTTGGACATCGTGGACGGCGGCACCACAAGCTCGTCAGGTACGCCTATATTTTATTATTATTATTATTATTATTGTAGTATTATTGTATTATTGTTAACACAAAAACAAAAAATGTGTTTGCCGGTGATTTTTTTCACCGTTTTGTTACTGTTCGTTCGTCTCATAGTAATAATAAACACATTGAGGGGCCTCGCTTCGGCTATTATTTAAGGGGCTATATTTAGGCAATTTATAATCCCGTCTTAACCGCCCGGGATCTATGTGTTAGTTCAAGTTGTAAATGATTATTAGTGTGAGTGCAATTCTATGCGGACACCACTCTCGTCAAGGCTGAACCCTGACCCCCCTCCCCCAAAATTTCTGGCTAAGGACTTGACTCTCGATGCACATGTCAATAAATCAAAAACATAATAAAATTGGATAGGTATACGAATTTTAGGAAAGCTTACTTATTGTTTTGACAAAACTAAAGATAGTTAACGTTATCTGATTTTGATTCTGAAAAAATATTTGAATTTAGCAGAAAAATGTCTGTAGATGGTATGAAACATTTACCTTTTTTAATTTTGGTTATGATTTGAAAAAGTTCATAATTTGAAATTTATAATCACCGGCGTACAATAGTATAAGATTTAATTTTTAACTTCTATATTCACTGTAGAGTTCAACATTTTTCAGATTGAAAATCGGACACATTAAATCAACTTCAATTGTATCAAAACTAAGGGTCTTCTGAGCTAAAATTGACGGCAATAGCTAGGCCCCTTAAATACTCATATTTACAATTTATACCATCTACATATAATAATATGACCAAGTCGACGTAGAGAGGCTTGAAATAGAATTCGTAGTATAAATGTCTCATTTGAGGCAAATCGATTTCCGTACAACAGTATTGAGCGCATATATAGATAACACGAACACCTGACTGCTCAGTATGATACAATACATAATTAAAGGCAGAGTCGGTCAAAGGCTATAATTTTCACTCACAAACACTATTAATTATAGGTATTATATTGACATCCTGTTTTCAAAATTGGATCTAGGTCACTCAAATTGAGTCCATTTAAGTGCATTAAATAGAACTTTATGGCTGCAAATATACCATAACATTTAAAACAATTTGCAACAATACACAATTATTAAATATGCCTAACCAATTGCAGCTTCGCATAGGGCTTTTTGTATACGGAACTGGAAATTCGGTTCAAAGACAATGTAATTTTCATTCCTCGTGAATGATAGCTATAAAATCGTGGAAAAATACCAAATCGGAATCATACATACCTATTGTTGAAATTGTGTTTTTAATGATTCATATTTCTTTGGAATCGTAGTTCGTTCGAAATATTTTTATGGTTTTGCTTTTTCCGATAATCCCAGGCCCTTTGCGGCCAACACTGGTTTCTTCCACTCTCCTCTGTTACATGCGTCACTTAAGTCTCCATTCTATTGAGGCCTCAGATCAGTAGAGAAAATATTATTGTGTTGATACTTGATGGAACTGTAATGTACTGAATAATATTTTGTCCGAAGCGTATTTTCTCAAAAACTTGTTTTCGAGAAAAATATCTTGTTGGACGTATATATATTATTATTATTGAATTACGGTATAAAGTTCCAGGGAAGTACAATTCCAACAAAATACGTTTCTGAACTTGTACTATTCCGAAAAATTGAGTTTCCATTAAATATGCGGTTCTAAAAATAATGTTTTCCGACAGCGTTTAATCTCCAAACGTATACATTTCCGAGTAAAAATATTTTTCGAAACGAAATACGTTTCCAAGTAATTATTTTTTGAAGTACCTATTTTTCCAAATTTATATAAAGTCTCAGTGGCGGCTCGCAAGTAAATTCATTGGGAAGACTGAAAATTAAAAAAAAAAAAAAATTGAATACAAACAATATAAAAAAAACTTAATTTAATTACTACACGCAGCTATACAATGTGAAATAACTAAATTTAATAGTCTAATACGGACGCACGACACGCTGCAGTTTTCGTGTTTACAGAAAAATACGTGACGACCGCAATGCGAACGGCAAAAACTTTGAATGAGTCTAGTCTCAATGTACTGAATAACATCTATAAAATCTATCCCCGTCCTCCGCCTTGTCATGCATATGAAATTTGTATACATAATAATTGAGTCTTTCGGACGGCAGACTCTCGAACTAGCGCCGCCAGCGACCGTCGTCGTTATCGATATATTTTATATATTGTATTGTTATTGAATGACACTCTTTATTAATGTAAAAATAGAATACAAAATATTATCAATATTAATATCGAAAACCATAATAATTATTTTCAGAATGGATAGAACATAAAAATATTAAATTATAATACAATTTTTTTCAAACTTTTACATTGCGTTCCTACTTTTTATTTTTGTGGGGAGTCGCCGTCTCAAAGACTCCCCTGACGAGCCGCCACTGTAAAGTCTTAAATAAATGCAATTAAAAAAAATATATTTTCCGAATTTCACGTATATAATTTTGTCATCGCAGTTATTATTGCCTGTACAGTTATTCGCTAAAATGACGAAATATATCACCGTTGCCACTATAGCGCCGTCGTATACTTACATTTAACATATTATCGTACGATTGAACTCGCCTGTTTGCCCTTTGATTCCGGTCTGATTTGGTCCAATTAACTACATGTCTTATTGGTGACGCCGCCGTATCCGCTCGTACCAACCCTCCGGCGACCCCGAATGTGCGTTTAATTAGGTCAATCTCGTAGTCTTGTATGCATGTGTGTGTGTGTGTGTGTGTGTGTGTGTGTGTGTGTGTGTCTGGGCGCGCGTTAAGGGTTCGTGATCGGATGGGGTGGTCCCATTGTTTATCCGTCAACCGTGAAATCGCCGCGCCAAATCGAATTTACCCGCGATAATCAAATATTATATAGTTCCGACGATAAAAAATATATATATATGTGCATAAGGTCATATAAGGGAGGAAAAACACCACCCCGTGCGTTTGCTCTGGCCTCGGCCGCCCACAATATATGATGTCATCGCCGCCTTTGCGAAAGAATATATATCGTCTATATTTTCTCTCTCTATATGTATATATACACGGCGTTTTTCTGATTCGATTCCCACCGACGCCGCCTCTGTATAGTCTTTCCATAAAATACGCAGTATACCGAAATCACTAAAAGATCTGTGTAGAATAATATTTCGAACATGTGCATCGCGCATGACATGTACCGTGCTGCCGTCCTATATAGGAATCACGATGATATAATATTGCAGTAAACGAGTTCACGTTCGCGAACGACGATCGCGTCTGCACGTATATTATATCACACTCAACACACACATCACAATAATATTATACAGGACGCAGTTGGTGTTTCTGTGGGTGCCGACCTGTGTGACCTGTATGCATATTGTATAATATGTGTACCTGGCGATTCTACTGAAATGATAAATCACTATAGTTTTCAGTTCTCAGAAAATCTATAATTTTTTTTAAATAATTAAAACTATATTTTTCATTTATAATATTATGTTTATATATAAAATATATCGTAAATACGATTTATATTACAAACAACCGCTTTTATTTGCAAGTCATTTGAGAATTATATCTCTGCATATTTGACGAACATAACACATCACGTCATGCCGGTGAAAGACATATGCGCCAAAATGTGATAAGAAAAAAAAAATCGTACCTTACAAAAGCGCCAAAATGGTATCGTACATAAGCGCCAAAATGAGATGAGAAAAAAAATCGTATTTTACAAAAGCGCCAAAATCGTATCGTATATAAGCGCCAAAATTCTAGGTACCTGTGTGCTACGCAGTGGCGGCTCGTGCCTAGGTGTGCAAGTGTGAGCTCACCACATATATTAATTAGATATAATAGTGAAAATGTATAATAATAATGCATTTATGTATAATAATAAATTAATTTTAACAAATATCTGTTTAACTGTATTTATTATATAAAAAAATTAAATTTTAAAAACAAACAAACGACAATTATTATTATACTCCGAATTAATATTTTTTAAAGTACTTAATATTATTTTCTAAAACTGTATAATCTCAAAATTAAAAATGCTAATAAATATTTTACTAATTACATTTATGCTTAAAACAGACTAATTTTTTTAAAATAAACTTTTGCAATAATTACACACCGCCTACTTTGAACACCACGAGCCGCCACTGGTGCTACGGTTAAAAGATATTAAATAACAGATAATATTATAATTAGAACTATATCGATCAAAAACTCCAAACGTTTAATCTTAATCGATAAATGTATTATTTTACAAAAACTCAACCAATTTATTAAATTTATATTTATTGCATGTATACATACCTATACTCATATTATATTTTAACAATTTATTATTGAACATTTTTTTAATGTAATATATTATATGAAATAAAATATTAAATTTGGCGCAAATGATAGGTCATTATTATACCTTTGGCGCTTATGCCATGTGTTAAGTACAACAGGTATACAATATTAGATTGGCGCTTATGTCATACAAATTTTGGCGCAAATGATAGGTCATTTTTGTACCTTTGGCGCTTATGTCATGTAGCCCGTCATGCGTGCATATTAATTGTTAGGTAATGGCCGACGCGACTTATAATATTTTCACGATTTATACGATGGCATTTTCTTGTTGTTTTTCTTAATCTCTATTACTTTTTGACGCTTTTGCTCTACTGTTTTTCAAACATGGAATATATAGTGTAAATATTTTATTGTATTCCAATTTCCAATATTGTCTTTTAAATTTAACATACATTAGAATTAGTTTTATTTCGGTTTTTTCTTATACGCGTACATATAATACAATATAATAGGTATAAATGTGTAGGTCACCTCATAATATATATATATATATACCGACATGACGTGTTAGTTGACATTTCAATATCAGCAATGTTCATCGCCGAATGCGTGTCTGTTTTATTAAATAAATCGCGTAGAGTACGCATATAGATTTGCGCGCGGTTGGTTATTCAAATCACAGTCGCCGAGGTCGGATATATAATGATTTTATAAAGCGCCCCGAACATCCGGCTGAATCGCGCTCACAAGGGTTAAGTCCTCCTCTGTAATTACGATTCACGATACGTATATATCCTTCAATCACGGGGGCAAATACTTTCGACTGTTGAAATGATCTTCTTCTGGCTTTTGTCCCTACTCCCTGCAAACCGACCTAGCTGCTGCAAGACTCGGCCATTACATTAAACATTACACAATATAATATAATATAAATATTATAATTATAATATACGTGGTGTAATATAGTCACAAAATTAACTATAACATACGATTTTTTAAATATAACATAGTGCGACGGACATTCGAAATGAAACCGAGTTAATTAAAATAGTTATAACAACCGAGTTGTGTAGGTAGGCATACATTTTTGGGGGCAGAGACTGCGGCGGTGAAACTGCTGTTGCTGCTGCGTTAGTCGTGTGATGTTTTAATAGTAAATATAAATATATAATTGTTAAATATTTAAACGAAAATATGACTGGATATGGTATTGTGACGTTTAAATGATATGTATAATAAGTAAAAAATTAATTTTGTCAATTTTTTTTGTCTCCAGAGGGTGGAGATTCGGAAAGTTATCACAGCAAGAATAAAGCGAAACGAGTACGGACCACATTTACCGAAGAACAATTGCAGGTTTTGCAAGCTAATTTCCAATTGGATTCGAACCCCGACGGGCAAGACCTAGAAAGGATAGCGCAAATCACTGGACTGAGCAAAAGAGTTACTCAAGTGTGGTTTCAGAATTCTAGGGCGAGACAAAAAAAGCACTTGCACACCGGAAAAGTGAAAAACACTCCATCCGGATTACGTATGTATTTCGCAACGAGTATTTTAAAATTCAAATATATATTATCATACCTCCCTGGCTAACCTGCATTCGACGACAATATATTCTAACTGTATTCGCCTTTTATGCAAATATCGTAATTTATAAAGCTCGTGATTTTATACAAAATAGTTTAATACTATGTCGTTTACTTGCGCAGTGTAATAGCGTTACAGCCATATTAGAGTTTAACTAGGAGTAGTGAAGGGGAGTGTTAGAAAACCAAAGCTCAAAATTCAAATATAGATTCGAAAGACCCCCCTTCCCTTTTGTCGTAAAAATCAAAATTGTGAACAACGAAATACATTGAGTATTTGTTTTTTATTCTAGATAAGCGCATTTAATATTTTAAAGTCGTATAGTACCTACGCCTAATTGAATACTTTTCAAATATATTAGTTACCAATGACAAATGGTCATTTATTGTAGTATATAATACCTTGATAATTCATCTGATATTTAGGTTTTGGCTGGATCACTGAATCTACTTTGTGACTGGATCGATCTTATTTATGTCTTAATCATCTTCGTACGTACATGGAGAAGAACAAACCTTAGTCTATTTTTTTTTGTACGTCGCTACAACTGTTTCTTAGAAAACAAGAATAACCAATAAATAATATTCTCCATAAACCTCCAAAATATTAATGATGATAATATATACATTATACTTATTATCATGATTATGAATTTTTTTTTTTTGGTAAATTACCCGAGGGGGATAAAGACCTATGTGGGAGGGTTTAGCCCCCTCACCAGATACACCGATGAGATACTAAAGGGTATTTCATTATGGGATATAACATATATACATATATATATTACATGCTCGTTCAGACTAAGATTATAAAACATATTGTCGTTTTGGCATTTTACAGTTCACCATCAACAAAACGGTTCGGAAAACCATTTCAACCGGCACATAAATCTACACCTCACATATTCGTTTCAACAGCCTCCTTCGTCAAACCATTCGCACCAGAGGGGATCTCCTATTTATATACCCCAAAATCCAGGTAAACAAAAACTGTCGATTCTCGACACCGCCGCCGCTGTAATAATAACGACAGTTATAAAAAATATTACTAAAGTGATCAACAACAATGTTTGTAATTTGTACTAACTGTTGCTTAATGTGCGTTACAGCTTCGGAAACGTCGTCCCTAGACGACTTGTCTCAGGATTCCATGATGATGTGTTCGGTGGGCAGGAATAGCGATCCGGTATGAGACGAAGACCGTGGTGGGGCCAACAACCATCCACCACGTTGACGACTTCCGAAACAATAGTTATTGTCGCGAAAAATAATAGCGTAAAAGAATAAAATGTTTTTAAATAATTATTTTTACTGTGATACAATCATATTTGATATTAATTAATGTCTGATTTCCGGATCGAAGCCCGTGTTGCGTTTTAATCCGTTCTTCGAGTTTCGTGTTAGAATCTCTGTGGACGGACAACTTACTCTCCTCGTCACACATGTACAAACACTTAATTATCTTATTCTATTATCATTATTATTATTATTATTATTATTCAGCACGATTTAGTCTGTCGGCCCGCAACTTATGTTAATAATATTCACATAGTTACCATTAGTTAAGCTCGTCAATATATGTAGGCAACAACTACGCGATTTAGCGCCTTCTTGCACTGTACTACCCATCCATGATATATTCGCATCTTTTCACCGTTTCGTATGTTCTTCAAGCTCCACAATATTACTGCAAATGATTCGCTACGACATTTTTTTTTCCGCTGCATAGCCCATTATAAACGGACCTCATAATATTTATCAAAAGCTATGGATTCCGAGTAGGCACTTACTACTTTGTGTGGCTATTTAAATATATTATTATTAATAAATTCAGATAATATATAACACAACACGATTCCAGCGGCTTGATCAAATCCTCCCCAAAACTGCTTCTTCCTCCGTCCGTTACGGTTTTGATGCGTTCCTATATTATAAGCGAATTTTACATTTTCCAAAAGCCACTAAAAATATTTTATTGTTATCTAAATGAAATTAAATGATTTTATTAATTTTTAAGTATCTTTTTATTATATCACAAAAATAGTATCTCACGTATTATTACAATAGTTATTATTATTTTTTTTTTTTACTTTATCGCATACCACACAATGTTATCATTTTAGCAACATTATATTGTAATCCTTTTTAATAATAGACAATTATAGTGTTTATATATTATATTAAATATATCTTATTTGATCAGATCGTGTAGGTGTATTCAGATGCTTGAAATTTGTTATTATTATTATCTTTATTATTATTATTTTTATTATTATTGTCATCATTATCATTGTGAAAATTTGATTTTGTATGGAATGTAAATTTGTAATTTATATATTATATTGTAAATACAAATCCTGGGCCAGCCCAAAATATTCTGCCACCCTAGGCAAATATACCTGATCTGTAACCGCCACCCTCCTCTCCCATCATAATATAGTAATATTATACCTATTTCGTTTACAAAAATGTTTGTACATATATATATATATATATAATGATATGTATCTGAGTGTAAGAATTATTTAGAAATAATATTCAAATAAAATGTACTAAAATATATATATTTATTTACCCTTTTTTCTACCTGTTTACCTATGTATAAAAATTATAATCAGTCATGTAATCAAAAAATATTAAACCAAAATATTATAAATAATTTTAAGTAGGTGTACTGCCATTACCTTTCACCAGTCACCACTTATAATAGTGTATTAAATAATTGTTGTACTCATTGCAGAACGTAACTTCGCCATTATATATATCTGCAGGGATTCCCAAACTGTAGGTTGCCGCATACAAAAGTGGGTCGTCGTTACGATATTTTTGGTTGGGTTGCGTCAAGGTTTGAGGAGGTCCATACAAATGGCAGACGCGGGCAGTGCAGAATCGGTGACAGATACGGTTGAGCAATTTTTCACCCTTTTACCATCCAAAAAGACTACACGATTGCGCATTTTTTACCTTTTTATATTTGAGAAAACAAAACATTGCGCACATAAACATTTTATATTGTTGTTGGATTAAATTATTAAGAATTTAAGAAATCCATCGATATTATAATCAAACTATATTCAGTACCTACATGTACCTAAATATTATATTTCTATACCACATTACCGCGTCGTAATTGTATGGTAGAAAAATGCATTTAACCAATGTACCATAGTTCGGTGGTGCTGAACTTCAAAGAAATCAGTATGATGGCAATATTGACGAATATCAAAATTGAATAGTACCCTAACAACCCACCTACCATTTAATGTACCCAGGCGGAGAACGTAGATAATTCACTATGGCACTCTCCAAACTTGGACATAGGCCATAGGGTCTCTGTACTGATGGCTAGCGAAAAGAGAGCCAAAGTAAAATGAAAAATATGCAAAATAATAACGTACAATTACGTACAATAATGGCAGATTAAATATTATATGGCATGTCTTCACCTATTGTTTGTCATTATATTATGTATTATTTGTACCTACCTGAGGATGCGTTTCACGATAAGACGCGAACTAAAGTTTGGCCACCACTGCTATAGAACACCTGCAATCACGCCCGGTATAATAAACAGTAAAATACTTCAGCTAACGTACAATAAAATGTATAAAATATATTTGTTATATACAAACACTAAGTGTTACAATTCAAATATTTTGTATGTTTTCTACCATGTAAAAAGGTAAAAGTGCGCAATTGTATTATGCATGTGTTATGTGTACCATCAATCGATTGAAGTGTTTTTTTCGGGAACCAATTCGTACACTTTAATTGACCCGGGAACCAATTCCACGTTCTCCGTCCTAATAGGTATATATTTACTATTTTATTATATTTAAACTTCCCTTCACACTTTTCAAGGCTATAAAGGACTGACAGTATTTTTTACTGGCGTGTTTAGAAACTTATTATTATTATTATTATTATAAATAACTCATATGATAATAATATATTTGTCAATCACATTACATAATAAGGTACTCTTTTTTTTTTTTTTTAAACCGTATTACAAATATAATAAAAAATGCACATAATAATACATTTGTCGATCACATTGCATACTGACATATAATACTAATACTAATATACATTACCAATAAACATATATGTACATAAACATAACCTTATTCTAATTTTTGAATAATAGCTATTTTTTTTAAGTATTTGACTAAATCATTATCTATTTCATACTCTAATAATGTTTTTTAATTCTTTCGTCTAATTGTTGGTACATATTTTTTCTCTTTTTACCTTCCATATTTTTTTATTACATAATAATAATCCAATCATTTCTTTGGTACAAATTTTGTCACACAGCACGGCGTCTTAGATATGCAATTTAAATGCACCTACTGTGACATACGATACGTTAGTCGTCCCATCAATGATTAGAGCGTTATTATATTTTTCTTTTTGCTTTACGTTTGTAATTTATATGCATGTATGTATGCAGTGGCATACCCAGAATTTTGGTACAGTTGTTTTGGCTTACTTACGAGAGGCAACTGTGTAGGAACTTCAAACAACAATGTGTTACAAAGCCGTTCGCGATTTACCTTATTAGTTACCTATTTATATGTTATATCACATTTTGGTGCCAACATTTAATTATTACTATATGGCATAAGCCAAAACTAAATTTAAAATTTACTTACAAGCTTTAGGTATTATTAACTAATTGTTTAGTTTTTATTTATAGCATCAAAATGTAACTTCAATCAACAAATGTACATGAAATATTTAAATAATTTTGAGAAGGATTTAACACATTTAATATTTTAATTTTATACGTTTATTTGTATTTTATTTATTTTAATTGTTTCCAGAACTCGAATTGGAGGGGGGGGGGTGCCGAACGGAGCGCACTTTCATTTTTTCATACGTTTCAGTGTTCCTCTTCAATTAGTTAAGCGAGAAACACTAGAAATGCGTCTCCCCGAGAGGTGTCTACTTTTAAATGGTGTATTTGGATTTTGTTTTCATTTATTTCTAGCAAAGTAATGGTTAATTTTTCCTACAGTAGTTTTCAGCAAAAGTGGCCTTCGACAGTGGCGCAACTAGTGACTCTATTTCAGAAAACAGTGGTTCTTCACATTGGCAGGTTATTAATGAGTAATTAATTTAAATTTGCTGTGCTTTGTTCGGCACATGTTTAGTAGCCACTGCGTAAAAAGTAAAAACATCCACCAGTCGCGCTAACGTCGAGGGCCACATTTGATGAAAACTGCTACAGAACACGGTTATCGTCAACGACAGTCAATAATAAGGTACCCATAATACCTACGTTCATAGTTCTTGACTTGTCAAACATATTGTTCATTCATAATTTTACTATAAGAAAAATTAATTAATAGGTACTTGGAAAATAGGTTATATATCGCTGTTGATGACGTTCAATGACTGTACAAAGTATACGTATAAATAGGTATAACACAGTATGGTATTATTTTGTTTTCATAATTTTACTATTCGACGTAATCGTGGAACTAATTTCGAATTCAAAGGCAATGCACTATATTTCTAAAATGTATAATGTTGTGTACATTTTTAATTTGTTACATATATATGGAATTCCTCGCAAGTTACGGTACAATTTATAAGCTATGGAATGGTGTTTTCAGAACTAAAATCAACGTCCGCGTGTCCTCACTTTTTATTCCAATCCGAGCACTGTTTGTTGACCGACGGCACTTTTGATTTTTGAGTACTACAGCACGAAACATGCATATTAAATCATATGATGCATTTGTCTTTACTGTGTCCCGTCAGTACACACAAGTACTTAAAACTATGGTCCAAATTTTGAAAAATAATTGTGCGAATAGATGATAAAATAAACAATGAACATGAACATTCTTAGAATTAAACATATCCACATCACACAATAAATGTACATTTTTTAAAACTAAAAATATTTATAGTAGGTATATTAGGAGGTCAAATGTTTAAGATTTTAAATTGTAGTGATTTGATTTGCATTATTTAGAACTCAAACTAATATAATAATTATAAGCTTTTATCTTGCAAAAATAAAATTGCTTTTAGTTTCTGAGCGGAGCGATGAATGTATTGATTTTACAATGATGTGTGTTTTCAATATTTATTTTTTTGTGTCTGTCATTACGGTTTCAAAGTACTGGTAGGAAAGTGAATCTAGTTGGTGCTTTCGAGAGGTCAACATTTAAAATTGCCAATAGTTTTCAAAAGCGACAGGAAAAATAAACAACAAATTAAGGAAAAACTGGAATTTTTAAGCAAAACCAGTTTTCGAAAAAATTGATTTTGGTTTTAGTATAACTTTAAAAAAAAATGAAAATAAATACATGGCGTTTTCAAAATATTTTGACTTGTGGTGAAGTATTTATAGGCATATGACATTTTCAATTGTTATTTGTTTTTTTTTAAACTTATGTCGATAAAACATTTCTTGCTCCGTCAAAAACCTTGTAAATGTAATACAAGATTTCTCGTAAGTTGTCATTAGTGTAAATTAAAAAAAAGTTGAGCGTAAATACGCAATATTTTTTTATGAGCATTTGAACTTAGAATTTTGACAAAATTCGTAAGAATCACAAAAATTAGCAATTTTTTTTAGTAAAAAAATCATAACATTTTTTTTTATACGTAAGATTTAAAAATTATTTAAGATTCCTTATAAGTTTATCTACCTTTATCATAAAGAAAATTTCTACCAGAAAGTCAAATTAAATATTTATAAGCGTTTGAAGTTGAAATTTGTATAACATTGGATATTCCACTCGATTTCTCTTACAACGATTTTCTATTTTTTGTTGTAATTCAAAATCGAATTACTGTAGACACTTGAAATGTACACAAAATGTTTATTTCATCAATTTATATACTTGTTATAAGTTGTTGACGGACATTTTCAGTTTTCATTTTTTTTTCTATAAATATCAACAAAATTGTATTCTTTAGGTCAAAAAGCATGAAAATTGAATACAAGACTCTTGATAAATTTTTACAATAGCAGTTGAAATTTTTTTTTAAATACATATTCATGATTTTTTTATTATATTAAAGAACAACGTTTATCGTTTATCAATTTGTTGTGATTCGGTCCCAAAACAGCTCAATTGTACATAGGTATGTTTAATATTTTTCAACATCACTGATAATTTAAGAATAATATTAATTCAACTTACCGGCTACCATATTAATAATATTAAAAGTAATAACAATATAAAATATCCTAAACTGACATGCCGTCTCAGCTCAGTGTAGTTTTTCGTATACAATGATTTAATATCATTGAATTCAAATTTAATACCATCTATTACAGCGGCCTTTTAGACTCCTAATGTACAGCAGAGCAACATCCACTTACCCGCTTTTTTATTTAATTTAAATAGATTATAAGTAATAATGTGCTCAACGACCAATGATACATTTTAGCACCAGGAACAAAATGTTAAACTGACCAACGGAACTTCTAAGTACCAAGGTCATACCTCAAATTTGAATTTGAAAAGGTGCGCTTATTTATCAATAAGTTAGGTTATTATGTAAAAAAAAAAATTGTTGACCAACAAAAGGTCAACAACAATATCTGTAGAAAAATATTCTAGAGCCTGTACATTTTATAAATTATTATTATTTTATTATTAATTACATTGCATAAGTTTTTATCAAATAAAAAAAAAGTTATGTTATTGTCATTTTGAGGGACTACACTTTACTGGGAAAAAAACTGAATACATATTGTATGTATAATTGAAAGCATTTCGACCAAAAGTAAGAACAATATATTTTATTGTTTCATAATATCGTAATATATGAATGTTGAAAGCAATACTGCAACTATATATGTATATTAAATGTATTATAATTAGGCACCTACAACTAATATTTCTTTTAATTGTTTTTTATAATACCCTTCTACCGTTTATTAATTTTAGTAAGTTAAGTGAATCGTTTTTTTGGAAAATACACTATACAAAAATGTGAATTTCTTAGGCGATAATAATAACAAATGTAATTACAGTGATTTGCTCATAATAAATTGCATTGTTAAATTCATGCCTCATTTATAAATACATGTGTACATACAAGTTTTATATTTTATATTTATACTGTACATTGAATATTGATTAATTTATAAATTAGGAAAAATTGACCATTTAATGGATAAGCTAAAGAACTCAACCTGCATCCTTCTGTAGATGGACAGCTTGATATTAATATTCTTTTCTTATATAAATCGTTAAATAATTTAATTGATTGTCCTGAATAACTAGCTGAAATGCCTCTTAACATATCTCACCATACTTTGTACAACCACAAAAGCAAAATTATAGTCATTATGCATTTATGCGTCTTTAAATAGAAATTTTGAGTTATTTTTTGATCCAGCAAATTGATAAGTTCTATATTCTCTGATATATTATTTTTATAATTTATAAAATAATTAGGTATCAATCTATCTTTTATTTTCCACATTTATTAAAATAACTACTAGTAAAATGTTATTTGTTTCTATAATTTTAAGATTCTAAGATTTATAAGGGTATTACCTACTAAGTGGTTTTACGATGATACATTGATGCTTGGTATTCCTTTTTTTAACTGTGAACAACTTTTCAAAAAAATACTTGATGTAATAATATATTATGTACCATGGGTATCCATTTTCCAGAATCAAATTTTAGGGGAGTCTAATATTATCTAATATTAATTTTATTGTATTAAGGAAATATTGTAAGAACGATACAAATGAAAAATATGTAGTTATAACAAATTTATAAAGGTATGCAAATTGTTAGCATTTAAATAAAAACAAAATTATTTAAGGTTTAAAGAGTTTTTAATATAATAAGTTTTGTATATAATATGTTTTACATAAAACAAATCTTAATACAATGTTTATTTTGACATGAAATAGTATTTTTTATTTCATGACAAAATAAAAATCGTAATTACAATAGATTTAGATAACAATTAAAAATATTATCAGTTACCAACATTTTCATGTTAACATTCACATTCACATTCAAATTCACCATCTTCATCATCATCAACACATTCAAATATATCTTGTTTATCAAAGGGATAGGGAGGTGGAAATGCATTAAAAAATACAAATTTGTTTAGCTGAAAAAATTTTAATATGGTTAATTGTGAAATTCGATATGTACTTTTATTAAAATACCAAGTATTTATTAATATATTTATGATCTGAAATTAAAATATCCGTGTGAATTGCAAATGTTAGTACATAAATATCATAAGTACTATCTGTATTGGTTAAATTTTTATTTTAACAAGGTGGATACATTTTAAAATATTTATACCATAATTAAATTAAAATTGAACAAACTTAACATATCTTCAAGAATAAACTTGGATAACCAACCCCTAATAATGTAAGTAGATAACTTCCATTAATTAATTGTGTTGTGATAAAATAGCAATACCGAACAAAATTAAATATTATTATTACCTTTGAACTTATTAATTATTATTAAAAATAAAATTTAATTTTACATCACTACCTACTCCTTACAAACCTAATATTCTATAAGGTATTACCTATGTCAATATTATTCACCCCCTCCTTTTAGACTCTTAAAAATATTATTAGTATGGGACGTACCAATTCAATCAATGTTGCAATAGATTTATTAGATTATAGATCATATAAGTATAGATAGGTAAGTGAAATTTTAGTGCCTTTGTGTATTGAATAAAATCTTTAGTAAGTACTAAAATCATAAAAATTATGCTACATAAAATTGCAACTATTATTGTTATTAAACCTATTATATTATGTGTACTAAATAGTAAATAGTTTGGTAGTACTTAAACGATCTGTAGTCTGTACTACATGTCTTAATGGGTTCTATTATTATATGGCATCAATAAATAAAAATTTTCATAACTAGTATCATATTAAGTTAGTAAACTACATGTTCAAGTATTGAACTTCTTAGTTTGTTATCAATACCTATGGTCGTTTAAGAAGAATTCATCTAAATTATTTAAATTTGACTTACAACTGCAATAGAACCAATCAATGAAACCAAACCAAACAAAAATATTAAATTGTATTTTTTGTTTCTTCTTTGATATTGTTCTTTCCAATTACCATACGGCAATTGCATATCATCCATAGTGAGTATTCTGTAATGTACTGGAGGACAAATACACTCGCACTCTGGTTTTTGCTGTTTGGGCTTCTCTTGTTTTCCATTTCCATCCTTCTTACCACGTAAATGCAGAACTGTGAAGAAATATTATAAATTATAATATATTATGGCTGTTGAAAGAGGAACGTTATTTTGTTGTCTTTTCGTGCATTTTCTACTAATAGGTAAGCAGAAGAAAAAAATATATATACTTCCAGAATCAAAATTTCAATTTTGAAAAAATATTTGAATTCTTTATTCTTTTTTCTAGGTTATATTTTATACTTTTATGTAAGAAATGAATTTTCGATTTTTAGGACTACTAATGTAAAGGTGAATTAAAAAAAAAAGAAAATTCATTTGACGCTATATTAACTAAACAATGCAAAAAAATCGAAAACACATTTTATACATAACCTAGAAAAGAGAATAAAGATGAAGGAATTCAAGTATGTTTTCAAAATTAAAATCGAGCTTTTGATACTGGGGAAGTGGGGAATTTTTCTTCAGATTTTCTGGACTTTCGTATTGAAACTTTATTGATCGCAAAATAATAACCTTTGACTGCGCGTATGTACGTTACAGATTTCCAAGAATCTTAGCCGTAGTTTGTCTTTAATTACATAAATCGCTCAGGTACTCACGCACGCTAATGATCAGTCACTACACACAGTCACGCATCACTCACGATGGATGAAGGATATTACCTAAATCGGCTAAATCCGATGACCCCTTAATAAAGATTAGCTTTCAAACAGCTTTAATCACTTGACTACATATTTCTATAACTATCTGTGTAGTCTACCTAACAATATTCTTATTTCTTAGGCAATGAATTATTAACACAGAATTGTATTTATATTCATCCAAAACTAAAAAATTTAACTCTTACCTTGATTCTGTAACATCCTTGGACGGAATTTGCGGAACATGATTTTGAACTTAGAATTTATGCCGATACTATTCTACTGCAATAAATGTGGTGGGCCGTTGACACAGTGACGCGTACAAAATAGAACATACGAATAAGTGTACATCTATATTCTATAATGATTTATGACTTTGCTAATAAAATTGACAGGGATGTTACCAAAATAGGCATCGTGACGTATAGTTCAATAGTTGTGCCTACCACGGTTAAAAGTACATATCGTGGTAGGAATGGTTACCTAATCTCAATTCTGAACCACGGTCAGTGTGAACCATAGAGTATACGTCATATATTGTGTGTCGTGTGATCACACGATTTAATAATAATAAAATTATGAGAATATGAGAATATGAGATACAATTTTTACACTCTTGAAGTCTTGACGTGACGTTTCCTCTACAACTATTCTACTTCTGTGTTGATTATTAGACATTTAGTATATTATCTTATTATTTATTATATAATATTATAATTTATAACTTATGGTTTATGGAGTTTAGTAATTCTGTCTTCTGTACGGTAAATGAACATTTCTCCCCTCCCACAAATGTTTTAGGTGTAATAGGACATTTTTCCCTAGTACCAGTGGTCGTAGTGGTGGGGGGGGGGGGTTACGGAGGGATGACATCCCTCTGCTTTTTTGTATTTACATTTTTCATCCCTCTACTTTTATAATAATAATAATAATAATAAATACTAATATATTTTGTTATATTACATATTAAATTGTTAGTATTAATTACAATTTACAAATTTAACTATATAATCTAAAATTTCCACAGAAAAATATTATAAATAAAATATTTTATCAGTTTTTTTGCTACTAAATTTGAAAATATGTTATTTATTTGTTTAGTTTTAAAGATTATTTATGATAGAAAAAGATTGTAGTATTCTGATGCAGTGGCGTACACACGGGAGGGGGGGGGGTGTTCCAAATATTTGTATTGATTATATTTTATTTATAAAATATTTTAGCTATTATATAATTTCATATTATATAGTTACTTACTTAATTTGTTTTTAAACGTTGCTATTTATTTTTTTAAATAGAAATATTATATTATATTATGTTTCATTTACTAAAGTATTTATTTTAAAAATTTGAAATTTTTGTTTAAAAATGATTGCCCTTGGTTACAGATTATAATAACATTAGTAGAAATTATCATAACTGCATAGGTATTTGACAATACTAATTTCTGCTTACAATGGATTACCCAGTTACCAAAAAACTAAAAAGTTATTTAGTATAGTATTACATTTATAATTCATAATTGTATTATTGACACTTAGAATTATAGTTATTAGCACCTATTTACAATTTGTATATCACCTACTTACATTGGTATTAGCAGGTTATTGCTTATATCAATTATTTACTACTATGTATTATGTATTATGTATATATATATATATCACATATTCACATTTATTTAGATATATTTATATAGAAATATAACAATTACTTTCTGAATGTATTCTTAAATATTTACAACTGACCTTAAGTATTACTTACTCAAATAAAAAAATAATTTTTAAAATACAAAATTAAATACCTAGTTGTAACTTTAAAATAATTATGTTGCAGGGTAAAATCATTTTTCTCTTTATATTAATATTTAATACAAAAAACAAATATATGAATAAGTAATACATTTAAATAAAACAATCCTCTATCTTTATTAAGATATTTAAAAAAAAAATGTATAAACTATTAACTTATACTCCAGTAGTCCAGTATAAACATAATAGGTAGGTAAAAACATAACTATAAATATTTATAAAAACAATAGATATACCTAAATACCTAATAAACCATTTGTTAGTAGATACTTTAAAATAATAAATTGGTAAAAATGTATAAAAATGTTTAATCAAACAATCTTCCTTTTAGTTATTAAAAAAAAATTGTACAAATACAATTTTTAAAACAAACATTATTAAAATTATTCATAATACCAATAGGTATAACTAATAATAATTATTTGACCCAAAGTAAATTGAGAAGTACCTCTATGTTGCTATTTACTTGTCAATATTAATGCTACTCTTATATGTTATACACATGAATATAGCACCAATATGGCAATATCAATAATCAATATCTATATTGTCACATTAGCTGCTTGGACCAATGCACTTTTTGTGATATTTTTTATTACATGTGACACATTTACGATTTACCTATTATTTTTGAATGATTAGCTTCATCAGCTACTGATTGTTCAAAATAATTAGGTATTTCAGGAGACTTGAGTTGGTAAGATTGACTTGTAACAATGTCACAAAATTGATTTTTGATAGGAAGAAATTTGGAAAAAAATTTTTTACAACTTTTCTTTTATTTACTGGTGATTTATGAGGTTTTCTTTTTCTTTATATTCTTTTGAAGCTAAGACATTTTTAGTTTTGGGACAAAGAGAAAATCCTGTCACCATTGAACAATCTTTTAGAATCATTCAATTATCCTCCAAGTATTTATGTACCTAGTAGTATTAGTATAGTACACATAATATTATTTACTATACACATCATTCTATGAGTACGTTTACTGAACACTTCACATCGTATATGGCAGTGCCATCTAGTTGCAAATTACGAGAGTGTGCGAAAGTCATGAACAGTAAGTGTTTAGTGCAGGGGCGGCTCCAGGGGGGGGGGGGGGGGTGGCAGGGGCCCCCCCCCCCCAAGTCCGTATTTATAAAAAAATTATATTGTTAACAAAAAATGCATATTATAATATTGTCATAATATGGACTATAATAAGCCATAGAGCCTACGACGGTGTATACGATGTACCCGCTGGTTGCTATCTATTCTTACGAAGAACCAATAATTCTATAAATAAACTATATTAATATAAAAGCTACTATGGTATGATTATGATACTATGATATTATTATTTTATTATGTTCAAAACATGAATGTTGAATTATTGCGTAGCACACATTTCTGTACGGACTACAGAAATACTAAGAAGTAAGAATATTATCTTGATAAGAATTGTTACAATCTAATTCTATAAATAATGTAGTAGACAGTCGCGCGTCGCGTCTTTGCCCAATATCGCCGATTGAGTAAGCAGTTTACTACTTTACTACTTTACTAATTATAACTTGCCCCTCCCCCCCCTAACCTAGGCTCTGGAGCCGCCCCTGGTTTAGTACTGGCTTTGCAAACATTAAAAAAAGGTCCGGGGTAGCCGGTATAGCTGACAGGTGGCACAGCTGTCCGAACTATAGTTCGGCCCTCGGCCTTCGATTTAGACAAGTATCTCTATTCTATGGACTAAGATATATCTTAAATCTTGGTCCGCAGATTTAGGTTGGCCAGAGCCTATTTTCGTGACCGGAATCCGAATATAGCGGTTGCCAGCTCGGACATAGGGACATAAGTATAACATAAGAATGTAGGACGTTTACCCCCTGATACAATGGACGTTTCCCCCCGGACAAAAATAAATAAATATTAAACAACAATAATATACAATGCAAATAAATAAATGTACAAATGATTAAATGAATGTATAAATACAATGGACTCCGCTTATAATACTCACATTGGGACCAGCACAAAGTGAGTCTTATAACCGAATGAATCTTATAGGCGAAGTGGGAAAAAAAATTAATTACATATTATTTATGAATTTTATTTTACTACATATTTTTCTTTAATTTTAATACTCTAATACATATTACATATTATGACACACGTATTATCGAATAAATTTAAAAAATTCTGATAAAAAAAATTAAAATTACAATAAATGTAAAAAATGATTATTTGCATTAATAAAAAATTATAAAAGATGTATGTATAATTGTATAATGTACCTATTTATTATTTATGAAAAAAAATTGTGATTTTGTTTTTTTTTAGTTATAAACTAATATTCCGGAAATATATTGGAAAATGTGAAAGACGATACAATTTGTTGTACATACACACATAATAAAGCAAAAAACATTAATTTATTTCTAAATTTTGACCAAAAATGTTTATTTTTGACCATTTTTTTTACAACATTTGAAACTTATAAACGAATTGTTGAGTCTTATAACCGAATTTTTTATAACGTATTTGGATACGTCCGGACCGTGTCAGACAATTTTGAGTCTAATAAGCGACTGAACCTTATATCCGTGAGTCTTATAAGTGGCATCCACTGTATATAATGAATATAATAAAATAATAATATACCTAATAAATATAATTGTATAAATGTATATTTTTATTTTTTTATTCTGGTAAGATAGCTCACTGAAATCAAAAAATTTAAAATATCATCATTTGAAAAACTTTCACATAACTTTTTTAACCTATCATCTTTACCTAAATTATTACGAAAAGCTCTTGCTCTATAATTTAAAATTTTGATTGATGCACTTGAGTATACCGGTCACTTTCAACTCATTTAGTGGCAATATGTGCATCTATATCTGTATATTAAGAGGGCGCCACACCCGCNACCATCAAGTTTCATAATAGGTTAATTCACTCTAATTTTTATGCTAACGGCATAAAACTTGAACTGCTGAGCGTAAATTTGGTATGTTACTCGTTTGTAAGACGGAGACAACGCATGCGGGTGTGGCGCCCTCTTAAGTATTATATATTACAGTTATAATAAAGTTTATTGCTAATTTTAAATAATAGTATAAATGCAAGAGAAAAATAGTATAATTATTAATTATGTATAAATAATGTAGTAGTATAAACTATAAATATATAAAGGGTTTCAAAATGATTAAGTGAGTTATAAAATAAGAAAAAAAGAAAGAAAGAAAAAAAACACGTATGTTTATAAAATAAGACAAGATACAAAAGTTACAACAAACAACAAAACAAATTTACAATACTCACAATGGGTAATCTACTAACGTATTATACGATTAATCTAATTTATACAAGTGTTTAATATCGTTTATGTTACCAGAAATTAAGAAAATAAATCTAAATGTGTAGAATTACCAATTGACATGAGTATATTTTTGATGATGAATTTAATAGATTAAAAATAAAATAATGGTTTTGTTCCTAGTTCTAGCAGTATTTATTTTAAAATTAAGGTTTTCTAGTTAAGGGCTACAATCAAATGAATACAATAAATGGATTATGATATTAATTAGAGTGCTGTCAATTGTCATCCGAATTTGAGATTTATAAAGTTACTTTATCGCTCATCCTTATAAAGTATGTTCACAGAATAGATTAAATGCTATATATGTACATCTCGTAATTTTATTGCTTGTGCTAATTTTGCTTCCAAAATGTATTATGATGAGCACATAATATGATGCCCATGACTAAACCATTAGCCACGATGATACCAATATACCTACCACTCTATTTTACAACTATCATGTTTTTAACTTTTTCGTTTTTTAATTTTTAAGTTCATTAGATAAATATTATTCGAATATGCCTGTCTGCTTTCAATAATTGCTATACATATTCCATTGTGTTGGTGTAATGTTCTGTACCTGCTTTTTATTTAATATTTTATTATTTTAGTCGTTACTGTAGAAAACTTGTACAATACTGCATCCGTACTTATCATATTATTTTATTTGTTAGCTCAATCAATATCATTTTATTTTTATCGTTAACCTTGAAAACCTACACATTCCCGTGTCAACTGTCAGTAGTTTTTGTCTTTATTCGGTAGTTTCGGACCACAATACAAAATTCTGTATCATATAATCTCTATAGTTGTTGAATATCGACGATAATATCGAGATCGAGACCTTTTTAAAAATATCTGAAGTCAATAAAGTGCCGCGGTCGCTGGTCAGTAAACTGAAGTCTGAACACATCGAGACGCTTGAATCGCGCGTTATTCCCATTCCCAGACGCGAAGGTGAAAGGGATTTTCGGCGAGTTATTATTAAACGGTCGACCTTTGGGAATGCACTGTAAACACGATGTGTCGATGTGGGCCAAGGACCGTGACCTGTGCGGCTGTGTATATTATACACTTTCGGACACCTTCGGACTCCCAGTCCCAACGGCTTTTAATGGTAGAATTCAAACTTATCACTTTAGAAAGATAAGTACGACAAAGGACTGCTCTCTCTCTCCATCGCCCAGAGTTCGCATACTGCGTCTTTCTCGGGCCAAGGTGTTTCGAGCAAGACATTTCACGTCGCTTCACCGTCATCACTGACAGCCACCGTGATAACGCGGACAGCTGATTAATTGTTATTGTTCGCGAACGTTCGCATTTTATTAATAAAGGAAAAAAACTAGGTAAGGTATACCAATAATTCTTGTTACTCGTTAGTGTTATGTTTTGCAATAGCAATATTTTCCTTTCTACCCGACCAAAATAGTCTCGCCAATAATATAGACGCGATTTTTGACAGTTCGTAACAAATAATAATCGACAATAGTTTTTCAAACCACCAGTAACATGGCATTCTAATTTTGGAGTCCGCTGCACTGTTCACGGTTTCAAATCTCTACTTACAAGGTTTGATTAACTCGATACATTCCATTAATTGTCGGACGAAAGCGAAGAACTTATTTTTTTTGCTCTCAATTTTATTGTACTTAACCATGTTCAACGATTTTTCGTTCTTTTTCTTCAATCGTTCCGATCGACTTACTTAGGTTGCGAACAATTTGATCGTTCTCAATATTATGTACCAAAACGAGCTCCAACGAATTCCGATCAAGTTCAGACACAAAGAAGAACGGGTTCCAGAATCATTGTTCTGCCTGTGTCTGAGATATGTGGCAAGAAACTTGGACACACTGTGTACGGAGACGCCTGATGGTTATACTCTACACGATGGATTGGCTTTGCCAAGCGCGATATGTGAAGCATTCATCAAGGTTTACCAGAGCAACGGTGGTGAGATTTTCGACCATTTTGCTCATCTATTCTCAGACCTTAACAGGACGAACCTGACATCGGTACACATAAGTAACTCGAGTATTACAGATGAAGGGCTTGAGTACCTGTTGTGCCACGACCTATATGAACTCACACTCACTAATTGCCAGAATCTCACGCACAAAACTTATATAAATATATTCAAACATGCAGTCAACCTTCGTTCGTTGACCATTGGTCCCAATGTACAAATAACTCCTTACAACAAGCTGTCAAACTCTTCACTATCTCTAGATGATCTCCCCTCAAGAATCTACAAGAAGGCTCCCAATCTTAAACGTTTTATATTGCGAGCAATTGCAGAATCACCATTTAATAGTGACAACATATTTCTGGGTGTCATGCTTGATAATCTCGTACAACTAAGGTTCTTGGACCTCTCGTATTGCTTAGGTGTTGGCAATCTGAGTTACTTGAGTAAACTCACCAACTTGCATACATTGATTCTTTTCGATGTGCCTAATTTACAGAACGATGAAGCGATAGACAGTATCTGTTCCCTGCAATCACTGGTGTGAGTATCTTCTATACTGTGATAAAACAAAAAAAAGTCATTTTCATTATATTTACTAATTCCAAATTGTGTTTCTAGTGTTTTAGATATATCCCAAACTGAGACTTTCCCAGAACAAGGTATTTTTACAGACGAAAATAAAGTTTTAGCACGAATTGTGAAATGTCTACCAAATCTTATGTCTTTGGACATCTCCGGTACAAATTTGGCTGGAAAAGGTAAGTTGAGTAATTTATGTTTTTGATACTACATATCTATCATGTATATATTATGATTATAGGCACTGCAGAACAATCTACATGTGAGTCGTTGAGTGGCAGGAAGTCGGACATTCCTGGTTTAGAGTGTCGAGTAGATAATCCTTTAGAATTTTTAGGATTATATCATACTCAGCACAATGCTTGCAGACGGCACGATATTCCTGCGAAAATCGTAATACAATTAAAATTAATTAATCCATTAAACTATTATTAAATAACATGTTTATATTTGTGTTTCTTTTCATAGATTAGTGGTGATGCTAACGAAGAACAGATTTTCAATTCTGCTGCTTCGTGTATGGACAAACCAAAGTTACTTCAAAACATTTTAAACGACCTTTATCACTTGTTGAGGTATGACCAGTGTACACAAATTGATCAAGCTCTTGACATTGTACTTGAAGCTCTTACCAGATATGTTAAAGAGAAACTCATTCAAATTTCTGGGAGGTTAGTATTCACTAATTTGCCCTTTGAAAAGAGAAGATTTTTATTTATGAAGTAATTTTTTAGTGCAACACTTTTCTATATTGTGAAGAATAAAGATCGGCCTTTACTATTAAATGATATAACAGTAAAACGACGTATTATCACTACACTATTAACTGGAATGGACTATCACAACTATGATGAAACAATGATGCGAAATGGATGTTTGACTTTGTGTCAGTTGCGAATACCTCAAGATGTGGTAAATTCAAACTATAAATATTACAAATATTAAAAACTGAGGGGGATCACTCTGATATATAGTAGGTTTCGAGTTTACCTCGTTATTGAATAAGTCAATGTAATGAAAGTGTTCAATATGAATTAAGTGATAAATTATTACATACAAAAAATAGTTCTGAAATTGGAAACTGGATCAACCTCTATTTCTTTCAATATTTTATTGTTTTATAAGTTATTTATAACACTATTAATGATACATTTTTCTTTTAGTAAAACTTTATACTGAACTACAAAATTTCAAACCCTTAAAAAAATTGTGCTAGAATTTTTTGTAAATTAATTACTGTATAAACAATTTAAGAGTAACGTTTTTTGGATTTAAAAAAATCAATTTTGTAAGAAATTAGTGTAACTTAAATATTACTATTTTTCCATAATTTAAAAAAAAAAAATTCTATTTGAAAAGTAAGATTTTTCTACTTTTAATCTCCCAATTTACCTACTATTTTCTAATAATAGTAGATTCAAATTACTTCATTTTATTGAAATTACGTAAATCAATGTATTGTTCCTAAACATGATTAATTTATTGAAATATACAAAAAATATATATGTGTTTAAACATCATTGTAAATCAATAGATTCATCACTTTTCTCAAAATCTAAAACCAAAATATGTATACATTTTTAATAAATTAAAAATATATTTTTTAACTTGAATCAAATTAAATGAGCATCAGCCTTAATGTAGAATAAGATTAAATTATTATGAAATTATTAATCATGGCAACTTGTTTGAGAAAAATGTATGTGTATAATATATATTATAATTAGGACCAGGAAGTTTTTTGAATTATTTTAGATTGTTTTGAGCAATCTATTCTTACCCAACAATTTTTTACTGTTAAAATAACATTTTATTTAGCTCTTCAAAGTTTTCTTATAATATCTGTAGGTATCAATTTTTCTGAATTTTGGTTTAAATGTGAGATAAGCTGTATCTTTTTCTTTCACACTAGATAAAGATTTTGTAAAATGTATTTTATTCATAAAGTTTGATAACTAAAGTATGGATGAGCAAAACAGATGTCTGAACTTAATTAAACAAACTTAAATTTAATTTAAATATAATTTCTCAAATAACTTATAATATTATAATGTAAGTTTAATAACATTAATTAGAATAAAGATTTCATAATATATTCTTACTTAAAGACAACCTAACCTTGAATTTTTATTTTGATTTGGAAACTAAAAGAAATGACTCATATTGGCATGTATTCAAATTGATAACCATTTTATTGTATACACACGTATAATACATTATTTACTTTCTCAATTCTAAACTATATTTCGAAATGTCTATTTTTTCATGTATTTGTTTTTAAAAAGATCTGTATTAAACTATTATTGTTATGTTATGCACTATGGGTGATTATTTTAGATAACTGATAAGTGATAATAATCAATGAGTAACACTAGTTTTGAAGTAAATATAATTAATTTATATTTTGAATAAAAAGTTATCTCATAAATGTTTATGCTTACTAATTAAAATTAACAGGTTTGAGCTGAGATATAGTATATAATGTGTTACAATCTGGAACTATGTCTCAGACACAAAAAATCTGATTTTTTTTATTATTATTTAAAATCTACAACTTAGAAATACAAATGGTAAATGTGTTGATTCAATGTAAAAAGTATGATTAAACAATTGGTAGTATTCATTGAAGTCCATTAAAATATTCATTTTACCCAAAATCGACTTCACTCTTTCATTACTTGTGTTTATATTTAAAACTTTCAGCAGTTATAGATTGTTGTTTAATTTAATGTCACTCGTTTATATGACATAGGTATCTATAATGATGACATTTTCTTGTGTTGTTTTATGAATCTGCAATTGTTGGTGCTATTCAAAAACATAAATTTGGGTCTTGTACAACTTAGTAACATTCTATAGATTTTTAATACACTTCACATATTTCATCTGCCATGATCAACTTGTACATTAGAAAAACAATTATTTTATCAATTTAAAGTTACTCATTTTTCATTTTTCTTAATATTTTGTCATAAATAAAAAAAATTATATTTTGTATTCATGTTATTTTTATATTTATTTATTTATTTTTATTATTTATTACTTTACACTGTATGCAAAATACATGTACATTACCCAAAAACTAAAATATTTAATGTACTGTAGTCTTGAATGAATATAGCCGTTTAAAACTGATATATTCTACCAAATTATAATCTAATAATGCCACTACTAACTACTGGGATTATGGTTTAGAACTTATAACCAACAAATTCATTTGAAAAGTTTAGGTTTTAGTTAATTCCATTAAAGATTCTGAAGTCCAAAAACTTGTATAATAGTGAGTAATCATATATTAATGATTTCTCGTTATTATTATTAAAAGTGATAACTATACAAAATATTTCATAATTTTATGATCAATTGTAAAATTCAGTTTACGTCAATCATATCTACTTAGTCTCACAACATGTTATTATTTATTTTAATTTACAGTTTAAAAAGATCTTACTCTAGTCTATAAGAATTATCTAAGATTTTAGTATTTTATTGTAATTGTATGTACTTAACAGACCCCGGATATACAAATTACACAGAATATATTTTTATTATGTTTGTTGTTTTATTTAAAAAAAATATATTTAAAATATAAGTTATTACCAAATATTATGTGATAAATGCTCAATGCATTTGTATTTCCTTATTGAAATTCATTATATTTAGAATTTTGATTCTCATCTCTGGACGTTCCCAACTTTTAATACCTGTGTTAAATGTATACATACATTACTCTCTTTGTCCATGCCAATAACTGCTTTTTCATACAATTTTTTGAAATCTGTAGTGATGAAAATATGTTATTATTTTAACTATAACGGATAAATATTTATATAAACCAACCATAAAGTATAAAATACATTTAAGAGAAACTTTTGTTGATATAAAAATAAAAATATAAAATCATGTATGAACATTTTAGTAAAAAATATCACTGTGTTCTTCAGCTGTAATTAGTAGAATTTCTTTAAATAAATACAAATTGAAAAATATAATATCCTATCAATTCATAATAAGTTTTAAAATTATAAATTAATTTCTAGATGTTCGAGTTTAAACGTTTAGTACAAATGTTACTACACATTGTATCTACTAGTGACCACGAAGGGTTTGTACAAAGAATTGGTATTTATTTACTGAACTCAGTTGCATGTCAAGTGAATAATAAACAAAAAAATGAACTTGGAGATGCTGGGGCAATTAAGGTAATTAAAAATAAATTATTAATATCCTATTATATTCATAATTAAAACATATTTTATACAGAAAATGATGGCAATAATCAAAGATAGGCTTCATCGGAGAGTTTGTGATGATGTTCTTGAAGTTGCTTGGTCAACCATGTGGAATGTAACAGATGAAGCACCAAAGAATTGTAAAAGGTTTCTAGATGGAAATGGAATGAAATACTTCCTTGGATGCTTAACGGTAGGTATCATAATACAAATAATAAGATACTGTGACTATTAAATATTGTCTGCTTGTAGACTTTTCCTGATAAAAATGAACTGATGCGAAACATGATGGGGTTATTGGGCAATGTTGCTGAAGTGAGTGAGCTACGATGTAGACTCATGCAAGGACATTTTATCAAAGTATTTTCTGACCTTTTATTTTCAACGCAAGACGGAATTGAGGTATACATACAAATATTTACTTACATAACAGAATGATCAAACTTTTTTTCATACAGGTTAGTTACAATGCTGCAGGGGTAATAGCACACTTGGCATCAGACGGCCAAAAATCGTGGGTTATAAAAGCCCCATCAAGATATAAAGTATTAGATCGTATGACTAAAGCCATTCAAAATTGGAACTTGGATGCTGATCGAAATATTAATTATCGTTCCTTTGAGCCAATATTGCAGCTTGCACAAGTTAGGCACACACCTCAATGTGCTCATTGGGCAGCATGGGCTTTAGCAAACCTCACTAAAGTTTACCGTAAGTATATTATTGTTAAATTAAATTTTTTAAATATTTTTTTTTAAAAAACCTTTAATTATATTCTATAATTGTTAATATTTGTGGATTAAATGAAAATTGTATGCAGTTTAATTTGTTTTGCTTTTTTATCATAAATTTTAAATTATATATTATATCTGAATATTATAATGTCTAACAAATTAAAAATGTTTATTAATTTTTTTTTCTAGCCGAAAAATACTGTTCGATTGTTATAGCTGAAGGTGGTTTGAGAATCATGAGTGAACTACTCGAAGAACACAGTCAACTTCAAAATAATCAGCCCGGGGTTATACATAGCCTAGCTCAAACAGTCATTGACCAATGTCTGATGTATATGAAAAACACTATAGATGAAGTGAGAAATCAGTAAAAATATTATTTATCTTTTCTGCCGTAACACCCATACCTATAAATTCTACTAAAATTCAATGTTTAATTTATACACTTAAACCTTAATTATTTTTGAGGGATGTAATTATAACTATTGTATTATTTCTCATAATAAAGTGTTTAGGGTATCCAGTTATTATAGTTGACATTTCAATAATAATTTAAAAAGAAAAAAAAATAGAACCAAAAACTAACTAAATTGGTAAAATTTAATTTTTTTTTTAGTACTTACATGATTATTATTATTATTTAGAAATGGTATGATGATATTTAAGATACATACTATATTAAATGTTAAATGTTTATACGTGTATATAATATATATTTATATAATATATACTATATGGATATATTATAACTATTTTTTAAGACACAATGTCCTTTATATATTATACATTATATTATGGTCTAACCAATCTTTGAAAATTGTTTTTTATTATTATTATATCTATGTATTTAATTATTTTGTTTTTATATAATTTAAATGATTGTGATTACCAGTAAAATATCATAAATTAATTGCATTTTACAATAAAAAGTTAACACGCTATTTAACATTGTAATATTTTCCAAAACGAATTGATTTTTATTTAGTCAATAAAACCAATGTGTATATTAGTTCCAGTTTGTCTCTAGTGAACAACATAACAAATACTATGAGTACATTATTGTGTTTGTCTTTGTACGTTCCTGTCCTCCACATATAAATAATATAATTATTCTACACATATTCTGTCTAAACTTTAAAAATTGATTTATGTTTGCTGAAATTAATAGTTTAACTCTAAAAATGTTAATTAGATTAAAAAATTAGCCACTTGGGACAAACGACTTGTAATGTACATGTAAAATGATGGATTAAAGGTATCTTATTAGACGACATAGAAAAATATCTTGGAATTCGTTTTGGAATATACAAATTTATTAATTGGCATGTTCAGCCAGATTAATTTTACATTTATAGTTCACACCTTAATCATAATCCATTTTAATCCTTTTAAACATTGTTTTTAAATGTTAGGGTTTGAGCTTGCTAAAAGTATTATTCCTGTTTTCACATTTCAGTTTGATTATGTATTTATTATTGTTAGTTATTTATTCACTTGTAAATTAGGTATTAAAGGATGTATTCATTAAGTACACACATTATACAAATTATTATTATTTGTGGGAATTTGAAAATGTGTTTAGCCTGAGCTTTTTCAGATCATACAGATTCATGCCCTATACGACTACTCAACGTATAAGTTACTTAGTAATTGATTTATTTCAGCTCTGGAATTTAACGAAACAATGTTATAAATAAATCTAAATCTTTTACTAATAAAAGTTATAACAAAATTGTTACATTCCAATTCAGGTTGATAGTTACTTTTTGTGTTTTATTTTAACTGTATTTTGTCCAAAAATTCTTATTGATATATTTTTTTAACTACCTACTTAAGGTACTTTAGTTAGACAACTAAGTTGTACAAGTGTAATATGTAACTAGAAATTGTGTTTTCATTAAGTTTGTTTTGTTTTTATTTTTTACTCATATTGTCTATTGTCGATAAGGTACAAGCTCGATGCGTATATTGTATTATACTCCTTAATGGCCTCACTAGCCATTGACTGCCACTTAAAAATGCTTTGTATATGACAGTTATTGTATTTAAATGTGTTATATAATACATCATGTATACATTTCAAAATTAAATAATTGTTATAAATGGAGATGTTGAACTATGTAAAAGGTCTTGAAAATTATATTTGGATGTTGGTACAAGGTTTATAATATTGGTATAAAGTAAATTATTTGAATCAATTGAAATAATTTGTTCAAGGTTGAAATTTATTAAAATATTTGAAAATTTGAGGTGTCAAACAGAAATATTACTACCATAATTAAAATTGACTATTAAAATAAAATAAGTAAATTTCTCCTAGTTATTATAACTCATTAGATAATATTCAAATTACATTATTTTTACTTTAAATTAAAAATATATCAGCAGTAGTTGCAGTACACACATTTTATTATTATTTAAATCATGAACTACTAACATATTTTATTTAAAGAAGATAAATATATTTTAAATTGTCTGTACACGAAGGAAACATATAAGAAGTACTGATATTAAAACGCACTCTCTCCTGCTCAGAATAGTTTCTTTTCTTTTATTTGAATCAGTAAGATTACACTGTATTGTATTTATAATATATAGTTAAACTTAGGTATGCATACAAAATATATCCATGCATATTAAAGTATTTCTATTGACCTATAACTAAAACTGTGATTGTTGGTTGTCACAACCTTAAATACTAGTATAATATATTTTTAAAAATAAATTTGGTCAATTATAAATATTTTTATAAACTCTTTGTATTGCTGAAACATTTAAAAAACAATTGGTATTCGTATAGATAAACTACCTACTATTCATCTTTAAATTGTAATTTATTATTGTTTTAGATAATTATTGTATCTATAAATGTTGTTTTATTTTATAGATTTGTAGATAGATACCTACCTAATAATTAATATTACTCGTAATATTATTGACATAATATACAACAGTTATTCTGTCCAAAATCATGTGACTGAATATATATCGGCTTAGTAAGTACAGTAAGTAATAACATTATCATTAAAAGTATCAAAGCTCAACAGATGTTTTTGTACTTCAGGTACCTACTTATTTAAGGTATTAGCAGTGTTTATGGCGATTGTATCTTATAAATATAATTTTAACTATTACATATATTTTTAATATTATGTCAAACATAAGGTATATTGTAATTTTTAGTTATTCTACATTGTATATAATTATTAGTCTTCATTTGTTTAGTTAAAAGTTAAAACATATAGCTTAAATAGATTTTATTTGATTGTTGCTTATCAGTTATCATTGATATTATATTTAACTATATTTTATAGTGTAGGTAAATGTAAATAATTTAAAAATATAATATAAATTAAAATCCTTTCAAATACCTAATTATTATTTGCCTTCGAACGTAAAAAAACATGTACCTACGCCACAGTCTACAGATATAGGTAACATAAGTATGAAAAAACAAAATATTCCGTTTCCATAAATACTAGGAAGTACCTAGTTAAGTACACAATTTAAATCATTTGGCACATTCCAGATCATAGTTCAGTAAGTTTGTGCAATAGTTAAAGCCAATCTATAAGAGTTGAAAACAATATCTATCTTTATTTCCGGTTTCGACTAAAGTCCATAAATAATAATATTCTACTAATATTATGCACAATTATAATTTTTTATCTTTTATAATTGAATGTGAAAATAAAATATAAATTAACATTAAACATATTTTTGAATATTATAAAAAGTGTTAGGTTCTAGTATAAGGAACAGACGTTTTTGGGAATACACGATTTTATGAACGCATTCTGAGATATTCCTAAGTACTTTATTAAAAGGAAAAGCTTAGTCCTCAAATTCTAAATTAGCTCACTCGAACAAATTACAATACACGAGCTATAATTCGTGTCTATGCATAAGTACGTTTTATATATTTTTCTGGACCTACAAGGTTATACTATACCTTACAAAATTATAGAAATATAAGGAGACCGAAGAACCCCCATCGCCTAATAATGTTGCCTATTTTTTCCACTGCAGTGATCCGCCAACCTGTGAAGATCATTGCGAAAAATAGGTAGGTAGCTTACAACGAAAATATCCCGTACGTACTAGAAGCATTGATTTTATTTTATAATTCTGTTACAAAATCAATGTCGGAAGGATAAAACGATTGTTGAGGACTTTGCCTAGTAAATAGGTACTGTGTTTTCTTAATAAGTGACATTACTTGTTAGTATTTCAGTTGATATGCCTACACGGCTAGTGGCTACATATTTTTTATCGTGTGACTATAATATTATGTGTCATAAAGAACAATTCATGAGCGCGTGGAAAATGGAAGTATTTAAGGCATCCATCAGATTTCATTTTTTATTCCTGTATTTTGTACCAGCATTTAAGTATTGTTTTTATTTTATTACCTAGGGGGCTATAGGTACTTTATTTTCTGTAGGTAGGTAGGTACCAACTATTTGATTTCGGGGCGTTATAAATAAACTATTATTAAAAAATACAATGTTTATTTAATTGTAATTTCACACAAACGATCTTAAGATATTTAAAATATTCACCATAACCATTTTTTTAAGTACCTATTACACTGACAACTGGCCTTAAAAGCTTTTCAAACTACCTAATTTTATACTTTTACGGGTAGAAACCTATGCCTACTTCCTATAAGTCTGATAATGTATAGGTATTAGGCAGGTAATGTTGGGCGTTGGATAAGTTTAGTCGTATGGGTACTGACTACTTTAAAAAGGTTCCTATCTAAGATCCAACCAAGTTTAGTTATTCATAAGAAAATAAAAAAAGTAGGTACCCTATTCATTTTAATATCACATTCACGCTACTCTCAATTGTCATTCAAAAAATAATGCGTTATAAGCAAATTAATTTTTTTTATGATATTTTATTTCCTTATGTAGTTTATACTGAATTGGATTTGAATTTGAATTTTTAAAACGGTTTCATACAGGTAACTACGAAGCTATAATAGACGAGGCGGCAGCTGGGAATGTTCCTTGTGAGCAAATCGCGCACTTGTCCAGATTGTTTTCGAAAATTAATTTTATTCAAAATATCGGCTGCTACTCATCCATCCATAAATACTAGGATACTTGGATACCTAATTTACTGCATGTCTTCGATGGAATGTAGAATGCTGGAATTTTAAACTACAAATTATTTTTGAAGTAAATGGTTTTCTATACACAACATTTAGGTATAACGTAACTACGTAACCCTAGCTTCTATCACAAATCTTCACTGTAGATAGTTAAATAAAGTCACTATAATTTGTATAAAAATTAATTATTATATCATGTTGTTTACAAATTGTTGTTGTCAAAGACCAAAGTAAAATGACTAATGACTAACCAGACAACGAGTGACCATTACCTACGTCATTACATAGTAGGTACCTCTTCCTAGTTCCCATGTTCGAACAATAGATACATAAAAAGATATTAATTCTAATTAATTCAAAACCAAAACGGAATATGCGAAAATATACAATTTTATACACAATGTAGATCCATACGTCATGACCAGTGAGTGCGAATAACACATCGTTTTTAATAATATGACGCATATTACTGTATAGAATACATCAGGACGTCGGTGTTTGTATTTAGCTGGTGATGTACACAATATTAAATATACATATTATTATATAGAAGGTTTAGAGTATTACCCACACGGACATATTTTAATTACCTATGTCATTATAATCTATATATTATGCATTTTACACGGAATGTACCTACCTATATGTGTGTGTGTGTGTGTGCTTGCATTTCCAAAACATGGCCGGCTTTGGGTGGATCGCGAACACGATTTTGCATATTATACCGAGAAATTACAATAACTCACGATTCGCCACCGTCACTGACGAAATCGTGTATATTAGCCGGTATACGTACCTCACACGTCGGCGTCAGCTACACTGGTGCGGTGTCAATGTGATGTCATCATCATCATCGTAATTCGTAGTTATAATGAAATAATAAATCGCAATAAATCGCTAATCGAGAACAAGAGTAGTGTATAATATGGCATATAACGATATTGAGTAGGAATAAACCAAGACGGTGCCAGAGAGACAGACACAGACACAGAGAGAGAGAGAGAGAGAGAGAGAGAGAGAGCGACAATTTGAACACAACAATAATATAATATTATTATATCAAATAATATAAGACGTCGTCCGTCGTCGTACATTGAGCGCGCGCACACACACACACACGCACACACGCACACACACGCACACGCACACACACACACACACACACCCACACACACACATCGAGTGTATAATGTATACGTGTACAGGGTGTATCCGAAGAATAACTGTCGACGGTCAGACGTCGGAATGACATTTGGACAACGCGTCGTCTTCCGGATACACCCTGTATATGCGCGTATGTATATATATATATATATGTACATAACGACGAATATTGGCTCACACACGCACACACGCACACACTCTCGCCCGCCGGCATAAAGACGCGTAATACGTACTTATCGCGTGCGTGCGCGCGCGCTCGTGTAATTCGTGTTTATTGCTATTCCCGTCGGTCCATTTAAAAGTGTATTCTTGACGTGTGTCCCCTTTGCCGATCCGCGCGGGTCAGTTTGATAGCATTTGCCGCGCGCACGCAACGCATCTCTCACTCGGCCACGACGGATTCGAGACGATTTATATAGGTACTCTCATCGACACAACACAACACACATTGTTGTTATCGATATCTCATTTGCGATTCGCGCGCGTATATCGTCGACGTTTTATACAATACGTGTATACACATATATATTATTTTCGATTTGTATCCGTTTTGCACGTCGGTCGGCCGTACCGGATATATACGCCGTCGTTTAGTATCGGGTAATAATATTATAATTTATTAAATATTATACAGCGGTCGGCCGCCAGGCGACAGATTTTGGTTTCGTCTCCGCGGAGAGAAGAGACTCGTGTCGCGGCTCGTTTCCGGCGCGCGATCGGAATTTCGATTTTGTTTTTGTTTTTCAAAAAAAATAAATAATTTCCACCGTTCGGTACCCGTCGCGAGATCTGATACGCCATAATACGTTATATAAAATATTATATTTACGATTTGCGTTCAGTACAGGTGTCAGTGCGCTTACCGGAAGTCGAAAAGTCGCTTAAACAATACACGTCGATCCGCCGCCGTCTTCCAATCACCGTGGACCGCGAACGAGGACTGAAACGCCGCCGCCGTCACTTGGCCGTAACGTAGTCGTCGTCGGGTGATGTTCAGTAGTAAGCACACAAAATAATAGGATTTTGCCGTTGTTGTACACCTAATTTTATTACCACGTCTTATTAATATATTATATACTGCTGTTATTGCGACGAGTGTGAAGCGACCAGTCGTATACAAACGGCAAGTAATCCCTGAATTCCGCGGAAAACGCGATATGACTTGTATACGGTATTTAGGTAGGTATACGACTTGGGAACCTACCCGCACGCGACCCGTCGGACGGACGGACGCGATGAAAATGCGCCCAAGGCCGCGGCGAGACGTTTCCGTCGGCCGGCGACCGTTCGCCGCTTTTGTTCGAGCGGGTTGGCAAATACGCATAAAATAAAATATCATGCTCGTGACACCACCGAAACCGTAAAGTTTTACCCACGATTCCAGTTCGCGTACAACATAATAATAATATAATATTGTACAATAATCTATTGGTAGGTACATGATATGTTAAAATCTCATTGCAACAGGTGCATAGTTTTTTAGTACCGTTTTTATGGAAATATAATTCATAAAATCTTCGTCTGACTCGTTAAATATTAGTGTTGTAAAATTATATCACCGATATGGACACGACTGCACGAGTTACTGTTCCACTGGTCTAGTACGGCTTCGATGGGGTGTTCGAATATTATGTATGAAATAACTGCAGCGGGAAACGAAAATCGACGAAATCTCTTCGCGGCGTAACCCTTGTTGTTGGTATTGTTACCCCTTTGCACCCCTTGTCTATATATGCATCCTTCAATTCGAATTAACTCGATTCGAAATGAAACAATTCAAATCAGGTACAAATGTATACATACACGTCTAAAACTGTATATTAGTATTATAATTAGGGCTGCGAATTTGTAGGAAAGTGCATTTTTTTTTGTGATTGTGAAACGTAGCTTTGTAAGTACATAATTTGAACTATGTAACTACGAATCCATTTTTGCAACTTTTATTTTGCATTTTTTGACATTTTTAATTGTTTAGGTCATTTTTGTGCATTTTTATGTCATAATTTCCTTTTTTAGTTCATTTTCCAGTATTATTAATCAAATTCCGTCAATTGACGGAAACAATTTTTGAAAAAAAAAATTTGTTTTTATACACTGGCTGTATATATGTCGATAGAATAAGGCAATTGGTAGATGACTAAACCACATTTTTATAATTTTTTTTTTTATTAAATAAACACTGTTTTAGGCGTGTAATGTACTAATGTATAATATCCTGTACTTAATATTAATATAAATATAAAAATTAAATTAAAAACTATTTTAAATTAATTTTATACTATAATTTTTGGCATTTTATATAGCATTTTTTGCATTTTAAGTGCATTTTTTAAGGTTCTTTAGTGCATTAAATTCTCAGCCTTAATTATAATACACTTCCACGAAACCAAACTGCAGTTATCATTTCAACGTTTACGCACGCACAGTTTAAAATTTAAACCAATTTACCCCAATTCGAATTAATAATTTCATTCAGTTGTTGTAGTGCGATCCGTTTGTACATGCGTTTTGTTCTACCGTAGTTATTTTCAATGCGCATTGCATATGCGAATTAACTAAACCCTTTTTTAGGTAAACCAAATTGATATTAAACCGAATAGCCGTTCACATGCATATGCATTTAATTTCGGGAGTTTCGAATTGAGTTGAATCGGTTTTAGCTGTGATGCATATGTAACCGTAGTAACTGAGATGTTTTCGAAACTCCAAAATACTCCATTAACATGTCGGTAATGGATATCTATTGTTTTTTTTTATTTATTCAAAAGGGAATTTAGAAAACTTGGTTGAGGATTATGGGTTAGCTTTCACCCACTGCAGTGAATCAATTTATTATACAAACACCTCTGTGGGATAGATTAAGACTAAGTATACTACTTTATATCGCGTTATGGCGACTAGGATTATAGCTACCTAGCTAGCTTAACTATTGTTACTTAAAAAAAAAATATGACACGGTCACACCTTATTTGAGCTTGATAATTTGCATCCCCTCGCTTACCATAGGGATCCATGAAAAAAGATGACATATAGGTACCTAAGTTTCATAAAAATAGGTATAAAGTACATGTTATGAATTTTCTTCATAAAGTTCCCCGAGTTTCTCTTGTGTCTACCTATTTTAATATGGAAAATATTATGTAAGATGAGTAGCCACAGAACTACAGTACTACATTTTAGGTTTTGTCCTATTAAATCTAGTATTAATTGAATTCTAAAATGTTCAGATTTCGGGACCAACTCAATGAGTAATGGATATATTTTCAACTTTTTTCCATCCATAATGAGTAATCACAAATAATAAGTTACAACAATATGTTGTATATTGGATATGCATACCTTAGTCTTATTTAGTTGTTTATTAGTAAACAACACTAGCTATTATTTCAAACATAAGCCGATATAGGTATTACAATTTTTTGTTAAATAATTTTAAAACCAATAACATTTGCCTAACATAATCAAAATCGAACGAAGTTTTTCATCATATTATAATAGAGTAGTATTATGTGTAATGTACAATCAATGTCTAACGTCCAATTGCGTTTAATCTAGAAAAAATAGCAATGACTAAATTACAGTAATATTTTATGCCTTCGATTTTTAATACCTACTTAATATATTTTATATAGATTATTACTTCTATCGTTGGTCGTCGTTAAAGAAAAACCATGCAAAAATAATAGACTTCAACAATTTTGTTATTATCAAATATTATGTCATACAGCGATATCGATGTATAATATCTGTTTATGGATTTATGAGAATATTAAAATATGATAGTGTTTTCTGAAAATTATAACTGTAAAAAAAATTGCGATTCATATAATAATAAGTCTAAGTCATAACAAAATGTTTGTAAATAAAAATTTAAAAAAAATCAAGGTATTTTCACCAAACGTTTTATTTGTTTTGATATATTTTGTTTTAATAATCAACATATTTTAAGTAATATTATAGCTAAATAAAATGAAAACATTTGTTAAACAAAAAGCACTTATACGCCTAATTATATAGATTTTTTTTAATCACAGTATTACATTAATGTACTTAAAAATAGAATATCATATAGTATATACACTTGTTGATGCCCATCACTTCTTCCTTTTAAATACTCAATTAATTGTATTTATTCAAATCATCTGGACTGAGACACTGGTCATCGATTAGCATAACTTATAAATTAGTGTAGGCCAACACTCATATGATTCGTTTGGACAAGAATATAGTGATGGAAAAATACCCTCGTTATTTCAAAAGAGTACTCAATATTTTGATAATTTGTTTTAAATACAATTAATTATATTAAACTCATATTGTCGAATTATCATTATATTATTATACAATTTATAATTTGTTAAGTTGGTTGTCGATGTAATTATGTCCATAAAAATATGCTCTATGGGAATAATTATGATCTTGTTCTGTAAAACCAACCAAATTTAAAAATTTTCTTTTAACTATTAGATGATAATATTTTACAGGCTGCACTTAACTCCGTTTTTCAGTATTTTAATCTCAAATTTAAAAATATGTCTTCAAAAATAATACAATCATTTTAAGCTTTTTTTTACAAACTATATTATACCATTGTTTGAAATAAAATAAGAAACCGGAGTTTAATGTGGCTTGTTGGAAGTTTTCTTCTTTTGGATAAAAAAATAGTTATCAAAATCTGACAATTCTACAAGACCTGAGAATTATTGCCACGAATCAATATTACTTTGTCGACCCCTTCAAAATAGGTATCAGACAGTAGATTAGTGGAAAACTGGGAAAGTATTATAATTATATGTCTATATAATATATAAGAAGGTAAAA